CCTTCAATGTAGATGGAAATGTGGCTGAAGGAGAAGTCTGAAATGGATGTTTGCCACACTAAGGCCACTGTTTGTTCGCTGCTGCAGCTGTTCTTTGTGGCTAGGGTAGCATTCTTCTGGGAAGTGCAGAACATGGATGCAGGAGCCTGCAGTATCTCTCACTCGCTGCGGCCCCCAATTGACCACACGCCCGGCACTGAAGACCCACCAACCAATTCAATGAAATCAGATCTCCTGCAAGTGTATAGCAATAGCAGGCTGTAATCATTGGTCAAACAAAGCATCAGCTGCAGGGCTCTCTGTTCATCAGACCACTCACACAGTTTGGCCACCAGTTAAAATTGGGTATGGAAAGCCTCCCAGTCCGCTTTACCAGAGTATTTGCCGTGTAATTAGTCTCACACAGTGGGCACTACGGGGGACACGCCTCAGTGCTTACCATTCAACACTGCTCATGGGCGTTCCCATCTTTGTTTACATCTGCACCCGGATTTCCAGCTGATGTTACATATGCAGAGGATGGTGCACAGTGGTGGTTTCCCACTGAGCTAGCTGCACTTCCCAGCCCGGCTCTTCTTTCACAGCCACTGCTCTCTCACTGCACTCCTAGGCAGTACAACTTAGCCCCCATTGTGATGCTTTTGCAGATGCATTATTGCTGTTGTCTCCCTCTATTTTCACACAAACGGAGTGCTCTGTCCCTTCTGTCAGAGCTACATAGCTTAGCTTAGCTGCTAGCGGCTGAATTGTCAGAATGCCTCCCTGCAGCGAAACTTCTGAATACAGTTTTACCACTATTAAAAGAAACACAGCTTTCGCACAAGTTGTGGAGCTTTGTTCTCCAGCTGTTGTTGGCCAAAGCCAAACATAAGCAGGGTTTTCTCTTTATTAACAGCCTGTTCACTATTCAGCTCTCCGCTCACATGAAACATATCCCTTGAGTGAAGCCCCTGACTAGCCCCTCCCTCCAGAATAAGAGTCCTTAGCAGGATAAACCTGTGAATAAATGGGTCATTCTACAGAAACGTCCATTTTTTTATCTGTATCTGGGAGTCACTGGTGTTACCAATCATCACTGGTGTTACACGTAAGAAAAGTAACACCAGAGACAGACAAAATGACTGCTACAGAGCATCAAACCACATGCTGTCAATCATGGAATATCCACTAACATATGTAATTTAATCCATATGTATGAATTTCACAGTTACCTAAGAATAAAGTAGGTCATACCAGTGACTTCAACTAAAAGCTTCATATGAAATGATGAGCGAAATGAGAAAAATTCTAACTGAAAAGACACAGTGGACTTACCCTGTGCTTCATAGATTTTCAGAAAATAGGTAAAAGGAAGTGATGTTATCAGTGTGATTTTTATTTCAAAATAAAATATTCATAATAAAATATATTTCATAGTCATATATAGATTATTGTAGTTAAAATGGCAGAGAAATGTGTTTTTTTCTTCAAAATATAGCCTCACCCTTTACAGGTCTGTGAGGATGAGCACTTCTGTGGTGCTTGAAATTGTATATAATTGATTTATAAACCAATATTGCTAAATTGTTGGCTCAAGAATGTGTACTTGTTAAAATGACATTGTTTTATTGAAAAATATACATAAATTATAACCCTAACATGTTTTTGTTGAAGTGCAATATATCTTTAAATGCTAGGGACACAAAAATGGACGTTTCCACAGAACGACTCAAATGCTGAAGAGCAAGTAACCCAAAACCAACAACCAAAAGCATTTTTTGAACAAGCTCCAATTCATTTAGAACACACTGAGAATACACACTGATGTGGGGGAGAACTCTGCTGTAACTTTGACACTGTTGGGCCCGAAACATACTCCACGCAAGGACGCGAACGCAGACGCTTCGAGCTACGCAGACGGGGTTTCGCGCGTAGTTGCGTTCAAAATTGTGTCACGACGCATTTCATAATACGAGCTGGCGAGAAGTTGTCTTCTCTCTAAGGTATGTTTCCGGTTGTATGGCAGCAGCCCGTGGAACATTGCTTAATGATACAGAAGCATGCTCATCAGCGATTTCATCAAACACACTGACACCAGACTGCTGCACTGGTCCTTCCTTGGCCTTTTGACAGATGGTTCCTCATTCTCCTGTTGGCCTATATGTCTCTGCCAGATATTTTCTGCAGCTCCTGCATCACTTTCTCCTTGGCATTCTCAGCGGTGCTGGAGCTTGAGAAAAAACGGTCCTTATATCTGAAAGAGAACATATAGGACTTATAGGTGTCCAAATAAATAGCAAAATGTGATCCCAGGATGTCAAACGGTGAAGAAACAATGGTGAAGAATACAGACACACATACAGAAATATATTTTACTTTTGATTTGTATCAAGAGGTCACGTTTTAGCGCGCATGCGTGTTTATGTTAAATCTAAAAAATAAAACCCAGATAAGCAAGGAGAAAAAAAAAACCTCAGTAATGTAAATATTTGAAAAATAATAATCTAACGAATAATAAAATGTCAGCTTCTGATGACTACTTGAAAAGCAGTATTTATGAGAGTTTGTTGAATGTTTTGGCGACATCATCACGCACGCAGAAGCACCGACCTTAGAGGGTTAAAGTGTAGTCGAGAGAACAAAATGTAAATGAATTATAGACCGACACAGTCTACAACAAAAGAGTACAAATTAATCAATTTGTTATTTGATATTTTAGAATAGAAAACGTTATCGTTCATCTCTGGAACTGTCCATATTTTATTTGAGCATTTTCCCGCATTTCACCCCCAATATATTAGCAACATGAGATGCACACACATTAGTTACCTTGGATCGAGAAGCGTGGAGAAGAGTTGGATTTGCTGTAAGTAAAGTACGTTTCATTGTTTTGATCCCCGGCTGCTCATCGGCTTCTTTGGACAGCAGTCTCTATAATACGGCGATAGCGGGAATCACATCAGAGGCTAATGCATCAGAGGAGCTCACTTGTCGAGTTAACTCTTCGAATGGCGCCAAAATTGTCCTTGCCTTCTCTAGTAGGTTCCACTGATTAAGGCTGAGGCTGTCGGGGAGCTCATGTTCTCACCCAAATATCCCGAGAGCCCGTTTTTGCTCAGTGAGGGACTAGTCTACAGCTGTAGCATATAGAATGTGCTGTTCCACCGTGTTTTCACGTCTTGTTGGAGACGTTTAATTGGCTGGTTGAGCTGCAACTGAATGTCTTCCAAGCGGGAATACGACAAAGTAGAATGTTTGAAATGCCCAACAACTTTGCGTCCGACTGCCACAGCGTCAGCGACGCTCCGCTGTGCAAGCAGACCCTCGTTTACTGCCAGCTGAAGTGTGTGTGCAATGCATGAAAAGCTAGGCAGTCCAGCATCATCCACTGCCTTTGTCATGTTTTTAGCATTGTCGCGCGCCACGACATGGACAGAACTTTTAGGAATTTCCCAAGTCTTGAGCATTTCCTCAAATGTGCTTGCTATTGCTTGGCCTGTGTGGGACCCACGGAATTGTTTTGCGTGCAGTACAACTCGCTGGAGAATGAAACCATCGTCTATCCACTGTGCAGTTAGGCTAATGAGAGACATTGGACAGACGTTGCTGCTCCAGATGTCCGTAGTAAAGCTTAAGGCTGGAATGTCATGCAACAAGCTCTTGATATGCTTTTGCACCGTGTCGTGCATCTTTGGTAAGACAGTTTCCGTTATATGATAACGGCTGGGAATTTCGTACTTGGGCTCTAACACATCAAGAAGGCGCCGAAATCCCTGGTTGTCGATGACCGAGAATGGTTGATCATCAAGAACAATATACTGGGTAAGAGCTTCTGTTATTGTCACAGATCTAGGGTTGTGTGTAGACATTGTATCTCGTCCAGCTAGCGTTTGCTGCAGTGTTGGTTGATGGCGTGGTCTGTTAGCTGCGAACTCCTCGTGCTGAGTTTTGTGTTTCATCAGGTTACTTGTGTTGTAGGGAGATGCAGAAGTACCTTCTCTTGATATTTTCAGAGCACAGTTTGCAGTCTGCTTTGCCATCACTGATTGTGAAATAATTCCAGATCGCCGACATTTTGAGTTGTCTTCTCATTAGCGTAACGTAGCTGACGTGCACTAGGCACAAGGTATCGGAGCCTCGTTTGCGAGTAAATGAACACGGTATTCATGCATCTCTACTGCTAATAACAGGCCGGCCGTATACGCACGTATGCTGTAAAACTTGTACACAGACTGACCTGCAAAGATGCTTTTTGCATATACCATATTTTTTATCCAAGATGCCTCACAAGACAGAAAAACTTACACACGATCAGTTAAGTAATTGCTAATAAACAATTAAAAGTCCTCTGTAGTTAGTCAGACCTGTCCAGGGTGTACCTTCCACCCGATGACTGCTGGGATAGGCTTCAGCTACCCCCGCGACCCAGAAGGATAAGCGGATTAGAGGATGTGCGTGTGTGTGTGTGTGTAGTTAGTTAAAGACATGCCGATATGATCTGAGGTAAAACTGATAGACTTGTGATTAAAAACTCCTGTGAATGCTGATTCTGATAAATATGAGTGTGATGTGCTGGCCTTAAAAATTAGTACAATGACATGGTAACAAACCTCGGGTAGGTTTTGCTGCCTCAGCTCTGTAAAACTAGCAGCGTTTCAGCAGCTAGTGATATTAGCCATTCTGTAAAAGACAGACTACAGTAGCTGTGCCCAGTCCTGGTCCTGGAGGTCCACCACCATGCAGAGCTCAGCTCCAACACTAACCTAACACACCAGGGCCCATATTCATGCAGCTTCAGACTGAGTGCTGATCCTGAATCAGTTCTAGTCAGTAATGTCAACAAGAGAGGAATCTGATGTTAAATCAACAGTCCTACTTCATGAAGCTTTTACAGGCCCTAGAATGTAAAAACAAAGATTTGGTGCACAAAGAAGAAAGACACATTTTTAAAAGAGTGTATTTGATTCAGAAATCAAACACACTGTATTTTGGCATTCTCATAGGCATAATGATAGACGGCATCATCCTCACAGGCTACATTTATGTAACAAGAATGGAAGGATAAATAACAGACACATACAGGACAAATAAAGCTGATGTCTACAGTGAAGCACCATCAACAGTTCATCTCTCTTGGTCACTCAGTCACACTCACACATCAAAATAAAAAACAGAGTTATTTTTCTGTAGAATAAAGCAGTTGTAATCTATCATTAAACACTTCAGTCATTATCATTTTACCATTTAAGCTTAGATACTTAAAACAGCTTACAAGTTAATTTAATGGCAAACTATGAGCAGCAGGGGTTATGGCTCTTTACGGATCTTTATGAACAGCCTGGAAAAAATCTAATGTATTACTTAATTTCATAATCCAACATTTCATTGTACACAATTTTTTGCTCATTATTTAGTATTATCCTGGTTACCTAACCTGGATTACTCATGTTTTTTTCTATTACATATGCATGGAAGGAGCAGCTGAATTAAACACAGCAAATATGCAAGATGTGTATCTGACAAGATTCTATAGAAAAACACAGAAAGTCTGAACTATTCCTGAAAAAAAGGCAAAATAAAATACTCTACATATTAAATTCTAATCACACAGACGGACAGACACAGAATCCTGTGACCCCAGGGTAACCTGAGATTCATATCATTGAGATTGTACTGGTAGGTATTCAGGTGTGTGGTTTTGGCATTGCTGATGTCTCTTCACAGCCACTAGAGGGCAGCAGATATCCAGAACTGATTATGCGAGTTGGCAGCATCAGACCGAAGGGCAGTTTGACTCTATGTGTTTAAGGTGGCATGTGTGGCACAACAGGTGACCATCCAGCGGGTAACAACGGTGTCCTTCTTCATCGTTTAGCTCCATCTGACAGTCCTGTAGAGAGAAGTGCACATGCTTAAGAGACAGTTCGGGGTAGGCGATCTGTAGTCCTCTCTGGTAGTTATTTTGTTTTTTTTTATAATTTTGTAATTTTGTTTTTTTGCTGCATGAATGTGCATCAAGAAAACATTAAAGGACTGTGAATATTCAGTCTATTTAAGTGAAAACTGATGTTTTTTAGCAAGAATCTGTAGCTGGCTCAAGTTTGGGTTACTGAATTTTCAGGTGGTTGCAGAAGTCAAAGGACAGATTTCTAAAAGATGACTGTGAAAAAGTTCCTTCATTTCACCTTATAGATGCATTCTGGCTTAAAACTAGCATTTATTGTTATTTGTCATGCTATGTAATATTCTGTAGCACAGCACTGTATCTCTCTGCTTTATCAGTTTCACATGATCTTTGTGTTTTCGTCCATCAATGTTCTTTCACTACAGTACCCAGCATGCATTACACAAATACAACACTGGGAAACCCCAGGCTAATATAGAAGTAACATTAGATATTTGGCTTCCTTCTGCATTTGTCAGCTGGTGGGGAAAAAAAATCAAAAGCCCACACTGATGTATCTGCCCTAAAGCCCTTGTAGATTGTCAAACGCTCCTCCCACCTTCAGGGAATATCATGAAAAGAGGGTTTTCTTGTCTTTAAACCAGAAAATCTCACTCTTGAGCCAACTGTATTACACTGTTGGAGGCAAATAGGCATGTTTACATCTGACGCAGCAATGGTTCAGTTTTTCATATTGGATAGAGTGCCCCTTTAAATTCACCAGTCAATGGGACAAGAAAGCAGCTGACTAAACATAAGAGAACCCAAGAGCCATTGTAAGATGTTTAATGTAGCCATTGCAGCAAAGTGACTTAAAACGTATACTCCACAGTAGCCTTTGATTGCCTGTGTTCCCTTAATCAATATCTGTCAGTCAACCTCTGGCACAGCTGTGGAGCACAGAAATATTGCAGAAGAGTACTCATATGCTCTTCTCTTCGCATTACTGCCGGAATCACTAGAAAGCAAACATTTACTATGTTGACCCGAGAGATCTTGCACATAAAACAATAAACAATGCCATGCATTGAATGCAGGACACGCTGTTTGGTTATCAGCTTGCAATGTACCACTTGGTATGCAATATTCTAGTATTTTTGATGTTTACTCCTAAGTTTAACTCACCTCACAGTGATAGCATTCCACGTGATAGTCCTTGTCCATAGAAACCACTCGAATAGTTTCATCAGACCCCTGAAAAAACAGACAGGTGGTGAAATGGAAATGGACAAACAACCATCTGGCCTTTAACTTTAGCCCACACACAGTGAGCTGGCCTCTTTTCTGGCCACATATAGTCTCATAAATCATATGGATAGACAGAGGTGGGAACAAGTCACTAAGTTGCAAGTAACAAGTAAGTCTCAAGTCTTGACACTCAATGTCCCGAGTCAAGTCCCAAGTCAAGTCTCGATACAATTCCCAAGTCGGTACAGTTGAGTCTCAAGTTGAGTCCTAAGTCAGTACTGGTGAGTCTTAAATCGAGTCCCAATTCTTAATTATTGAGACCTAAAGTGAGTATGCATTCTTCAGCAAATTTAAGGCCATTTCAATAGTAAATACCAAAAACAGTGGTAACGGTAATACAGCCTGAACGGTAAATTCTGTAAATGAAGCTGGCCAATAAAAAGTCAACTTTAGCCTTATGAGGAAGCTGTTAAAATCATCCAAATAGAGTGAGCTATTTCTTTCGTTTAACTAACATGAGGAAAATAGTCATTTACCTGGTAAGTTTCTTCAGTAAGACTGGATTTTAAGCACTGTGCTGAGCTTATTGATGCTATTGATGCATTACTTGTTTCTAGCTTATGAAGGCAACTTGAATACTCATCCTTCACTTGTCTTCTGAACTAAAATTATCCAAACATAAGCACAGTAATGGACATTTGACGACGTTGCTATATATCAAATTTACGACAGGACACATTAATTCACATGGAAAGTAACTGACTGGGTAGAGAGTCCCATCTGCAGTCAGATGCCTCTCCACATTTTTTCCACTTTGGGTCTCGAGTCCAAGTCAAAATCCAAATCACTGGCTATGTTTACATGCAAAGAGTTTTACCAATTCGGTTGAATACATTCTGATTATAGATGAAGAGTGAGGTGTTTATATGCTCACTCTACTTAACAATCTGATAGAAATCTCCATTTACATGCACACAAGTAATCTGATCTAAAATACCACTTAGTACCACTTAGTGTAGACATTACCATGACAACGAGCATCACATAAGTCCAGTCAGTGTGAGACGAGCAGCAGCAAGCAGTGCTTGTGTTTTTAATTACAACCCCATTTCCAAAAGAAAGTTAAGACGCTGTGCAAAATGTAAACAAAAACAAAATGCAATGATGTGCAAATCATTTAAAACCTATGTTTAATTGAAAATAGTACAAAGACAACATACCAAATGTTGAAACTGAGAAATTGTATTTTTTTAAATATATGGCCACTTTGAATTTGATGCCAATAACACATTCCAAAAAAGTTGGGACGGGGCAACAAAAAGCTGGTTACATTGTGTTATGCTAAAAAAACACCTGGCGGTTGATTGGCAACAGGTCAGTAACATGATTGGGTATAAAAAAGCATCTCAGAGAGGCTGAGTCTTTCAGAAGTAAAGATGAAGAGGAGTTCACCACTGTGAAAAACTGCACAAGCAAATAGTGCAACAATTCAAGAATAATGTTTCTCAACGTAAAACAGCAAAGAACTTTTGCTTTTCATCATCTACGGTACATAATATCATTAAAAGATTCAGAGAATCTGAAGAAACCTCTGTGCAAGGGACAAGGCCAAAAACCAGTATTTGCTGGCGGTGATCTTTGGCCCTCAGGCGGCACTGCATTAAAAACAAACATGATTCTGTAGTGAAAATCAGTGCATGGGCTCAGGAACACTTCTGAAAACCACCATCTGTGAAAACAGTTTGGCGCTGCATCCGCAAATGTTAAAACTCTAAAACGCAAAGAAGAAACCAAATATAAACAGGATCCAGAAATGCTGCCACCTTCTCTGGGCCGGAGCTCATTTAAAATGGACTGAGGTGAAGTGGAAAAGTCCTGTAGTCCGATCAAAATTTAAAATTATTTTTGGAAATCATGGACACTGTGTCCTCCAGGGCTAAAGACCACTTAGCTTGTTATCAGTGCACAGTTCAAAAGCCAGTATTCATAATGGAATAGGAGGGCATTAGTGCACATGGCATGGGTGATGTGCACATCTGTGAAGGCACCATCAATGCTGAATGATATATACATGTTTTGGCAACATATGCTGCCATCCAGACGACATCTTTTTAAGGGAAGGCCTTTCAGCAAGACATTGCCAAACCACATTCTGCATGCATTGCAACATCATTTCTCTGTATTAAAAGAGTCCTGGTGCTAAACTGGCCTGCCTGCAGTCACCCATTGATAACATTTGGCGCATTATGAAATAAAAAATATGACAAAGGAGAGCCAGAACTGTTGACCAGCTGAAATCCTGTATCAAACCAGAACAGAAAAACATTTCACTTTCAAAACTACAGCATTTGGTCTCCTCAGTTCCCAAAGGCTTCCAGAGTTTGTTAAAAGAAGAGGTGATGAAACACTGTGGTAAACATGTCCCCGTCCCAACTTTTTTGGAACGTGTTGCTGTCATCAAATTCAGAATGGGAAAATATTTTTCAAAAAACAACAGAATTTCTTAGTTTTAGCATTTGGTATGTTGTCTTTGTACTATTTTCAATTAAATATAGGGTTTAAATGATTTGCACATCATTGCATTTTGTTTTCATCTACATTTTGCACAGCATCCCAACTTTTTTGGAAATGGGGTTGTACTTTAAAATTATGTCAGACTCAGGAAAATGTACTTCACATGTGCTTATTAAAGAAGGCAGAGAGGAAGACGTCATGTTCTGAGACATTTAAGCTGGACGTCAGTCCTGCTGCCGTCTTTTAAAGTTCAAAGCATAAACTTCGTCTCCTCTGCAGACCAGTTTCTGCCCTCGCCATTTTGAACGTTATAAACTTGTTATAAAGCTATGCCGCACATGCACATGCGCAGAACGTACTTAAACTCTCAGATTGGGAATATAATCAGATACAGGCATTTACATGGTTATTATCCTTCTATTTAACTGATTATTTACAGGATTACCCACCTCGATCAATGAGATAGATATTGAATTCTGAATGGCCTCAATCGGACTAGTCTATCATGACTGAGGTGTAGACATGGAGGTATTCTAGTCCGAGCTATTAGTCAGATTAGTAATGGATTGTTAGGCTGCACGTAAAGGTGGCTACTGGTGTTCAAGTCAAAGCCAAATCACAAGTTTTTTTTTTATTTTGTTTTCAGTCATTAAAATTCATGATTTGAGTCAGACTCGAGTCTAATTAATATGACCAATGGGAATAATATGACACCTCTGTGGATAGATGATAATTCAGATCATACCACATGCCTTATTTATAATGTTACTTTTTCTGGGGCACTTCCTGTTGACTGATCTTGGCTAGTGGAGTCTTCAAGATGAAACTGTTAGATTGGAGCACACTGTCTAAACTTTTGTCTTTTTTCTGGCATCTGAATTTCATACACTATAAGTTAAAAAACACAAAATTTGTGGCTTAACTACAGTATGCCTCTCACTGTTTCGAGATAATTAGCATAAAATGTGAAACCTACTTTTGCAAACTAGACCTAAGTAAATAATTATTTTAAGTAAAGTAAGTCATTTTAAGTTAATAATTGTTTTAAAAGTAATGACTTTTTCATATTGTGAGGCTACAACAGTATCAAGCTGGGTTATTCTGACTTTAAGCTTTAAGTCCACCAAAGATTGTCTTGTTGTGACCATATATACAGAATGGCAAATTGAGGAAGTATGCTAAATTTAGTTTGAACAGGTTTTACATGAAAATCTATATTTGGCCAATTCAGGCTAAAATTTCAATATTTTTACATTAAAAGTTTTCAAATGTCAAATTAAAAACTTTAAAAATCATCCAATTAAATTTAAATCAACCATATTAGCAAGTACAGTATATACTGTCTCAGAAATATTTGTCTTTCCACAAGTCCTGCTGAGGCTTAGTGGTGGAGTGTTTGCAGATCAGAAGGTTTGAATTTCAACTTAACGGTAATTGCAAGACAGGATCACTGCATGTGGCTACACTCTAGTCAGAGATTTTGTTCTCTAGGGTTATATGTAGAATCACCTTCACTGCATAACCCTGCATGGGTCCACAACATACAGAGAATTAAAGAGTTTCTTATTTACTCAAACACAGTCGAATGAACCTTACAAATGCTCTCAGCATTGGAGAGGGGAAGCATGAAATTCCATTCAAGTTTGTCCAGAGCTCTCAACAGGTACAAGATAAACTGACCCCTGCTCTCAATTCTAGCCCTCAGGGCCCTCATGAAGGGGCAACATTCCACAGGGGCCATCTCTAATTATGGTCTGACGGATGAGGAAAAGGTCAAAGAGGCAGCAGATAGAAATACCACGAGGAGAAGAGTATTATGCTTCTAAATGTGAAGGGCATCACGTGTTTCTGTGTACTAACATACACTCTCTTCAGTGAATATTCAATCAGTTCTAGCAATCTAATCTATTAGCATTCCTAGTAATTACTACTCAATGCAGTAGCATAGATAGAAACATGGAAAGAACTGAAAACTGCTATCAATGTGATAAAAGCTGATCTTGTACCGCTGTCGATGTAATTAAATATAATACTTATGGAGGTTTAGCATTAGAACAGTGAAGAGGAAAGTGAGACTGAGACATTGGCCACATGTCCAGACATCCCCTTTCCTTCTCCAAATGACATCAGAGAAGTTTAGAGGACACTTGATCTTTAAGATATAAGGCATTTCTCACCTTCTAGGTCAAAAGATAAACATCTGAACATCTATGGACACGTAAGAATGTGTCACACTATTTCAGGATCTGATCAGAAACCACAGAGTTAAACTATTCTAGTGCTCAGCTAATAAAAGCTGCACCTGCAGGAGCTCTCAGTATAGTCCTCTTCTTATCAGTAAGTAGGGCACGTAGGGCAGTGTAATGTAGATCAATGATTAAACACACTGTATACCATTTTGTCTGGAGACAAATGTTTACACAGTCTCAGAGTTGAAGAACATAGCCACAGATTCCACACTACACTGTGAAAGCTTGCACATTTGCAGCTAAAAATGGATACTACTGTGTGAAGTCAGGTGACTTACCTCAGATGGTAGGATTGGTTGGTTGCATGCTGCACATTTAGGCGCAAGGACCCTATGTAAGAGAAGAGGGAAATACATGAATACACATCAACCTCTTCAACTTCTGTGACAAAGACAGACAACTTTTCAAAGAGACAGACATTCTCCCCTTGAACCCCAGACTTAGAATTCAGCTATTAACTGTAATGCTAATTATTCAGTAACTAACTACTAAGTTCTGTAGTTATGACAGTGAAGAACAACTGAAGGGCCACATATAGGCCCTCAGGGTTTAATGCAGTGGTTTTCAAGCTGAGTGTGAGGCTGAGTTGGTTGTGAGGAAGCTGCATCAACACATAATTTTTTCCCCAAAAGCAAAGCTATATGAAGCACATTTAGATCTAAAGCAGTAGCCATGCTGTTTCTGCACTGCACCGCTAACACTCGCAGAGCACTCCTGTGTTATCAGTGTGGCATTCCAGCTGCATGCAGCACGCATGGTGATGCGTTTTTTTTAAATGCAGTTATTAAGTGTCGCACAAATGACGATAGACACCATGATCAAAGCTTCTAGTATATCTGTTTGCCACTAGAAACGTACCAAATACTCTATATATGTTCCGCTCCGCTGCTGTGCCCTGCTTGATTTGTTTCTAGTATAAAACAAGCTTGATTTAGCCTGATGAGTGGTGACCAGAGCACAGGGTAGCCGACTAATCTAGCAGACAACATGGATTTGAACAAGTTTAAATAAGACAACTGTTGTGCAGCTAAATATTAGTGTTCTGACTGAAGGTAAGAGCCAGGCTGATTACATCTCTACAAAGAATAATTAAGTGTTGGTGTTATGTTTATATTCCAGAATCTCACTAAGTATAACAGTGTAGGCCTACAAATGTTTCAGTCTTTTATCATGTTTGCTATTGTGCTTACTGAAGGAAAGAACAGTATACTGAGTAAAAATGGGCTGAAGCTAAAAGACCCTCAAGATTTTATGAAGCATTTGTTTTATTTCACCTTACAGATTATTTAGTGGGTGCTGGCATAAAAACGTTAAGGGGTATTCTTCAAGATTCTTATATAAAAATATTCAAAGTGATGAAAATAGGTAATGAGCCTTGTCTGGGTCTGAAAAGACAGAGGTGGAAGAAGAGGAGGGGGAGGGGAGAGGAAACAGAGGTGGTGGGCCAAGCAGCAGATGTGTTGGCTCTTCCCATGCCTCGTGAATTACTGAACCCCGAGCAGAAAAGAGGAGAAAAACAGACCAGAGGAAAAGTTCCGTTTCATTCCGTGCCTGGATTTTTTCCTGCATATGGCCACCACCTGATCGTCTGAGGTTTTAAAATGACACTAACTTCAAGCACATTTTAAAGCACACTAATCTAGACTAACCCATTCCCACACATTTTAGAAACACTTCCTCTGCTTCTGAAAAACAGAAACACATGATACAACAATTTACAGGCAAAATGAAACTGCTGTGCAAGTGCTGAGGAGGGTGAGGGTCCCTCTATAACAGATCATAGAGATTAAGGACTTTAATTTATGCTCTAGCTGTGTTTGTTATACAATTACATTCCATGATTAGTTGACTTTCAACGTGACTTATGATTTGGGAGCTATTTTACATTACAATGGTAATATCACGGTTTTTGACAGTAGAAGCACATTTAAGATGAAGACACTTGCCACTTCTCTCTTCCCCAGTATTCATGGCATTTCTCATTCATTCAAAGAATCCTTCCAAACACAAATCATTGTAAACACAAAACAAACCAAAAGCCTCTAATACCCTGTCCCTGCCATGGGGCTATAATGTGGGCTAGTTCCACTCTGTTGCCATAACATGGATTCAGTGTGGGAGTCCTGCAGGGTTCCAAATGTTTTTGTATTTTTCTTAATTTCAGCAAAAGCATACTGTCACTGGGGGGCTCAGAGATTACCCCAGGGGAATAGAGAGAGCAAAGCCCACAAAATTCCTGACCAAATGACATATGAACTCCAGTACACGAAGGTAAGAATGTGAATATGTTGGTTATATATCGAGAATTCATACAATTCTGATTATTTTAGTGCATCTGTCTAAATACCATAAAGCACTGCTAGAGTATGAGACTGGCGACTAGCAAAGATCAGTTGCTTGAACCAGTAGCCACATAACTACAGTAGCAGTTTACAGCTGAAGCTACTTAATAAAACTGGCACCAGGCAGGCAATTGCAACCAAACCTATTCTTTGAGCTGGGGAACAACAACAATAAAACCTGTCGATGTAATCACAACTGAAATATATGATGCCTCATTACAGTGGGAACACCTTGAACCCTGAGTTATTAATCTGAAGACTCATTATTCAGTTACTTATGTTCATTATTTGGTGATTACAATCTTAGACAAACTTTCCTAAACAGAAACCTCTTGGCTTAGATGTACGGATCTAGGAAAAATCTTAAATAGGTATAGAACTTTTCATTATGTGAAAGTTCTTTAAGCTTTAAAAAGGTTTTTCATACTTATAAAAATAGGTCTTTAAAGAACCAAAATGGCTTTATTTTTAAGAGTATTATGTTAGTTATGTAGTTGGGCCAAAACACCTCAAAACTGTCCATAAATATCAGTCAGTCATCACACAGATAAACATACACTGAAGCTCTATTAGGTACAACAAAAAGTTAAACTATTAATTTTTTTATTTTAAAGTTTTTTTGGCATTTTTATCCCAATTCATTATCCAGATGCACCAATAGGTCTGTTTCCCATGACTGATATTCATCTTTTTCTGCTTTTCTTTAATTAGAAAAAAAAGCTTGTAATACTTTTATATCTCTTTAATGTTTTCCTTCTAAGGATGTAAACCAACACAACAAAATGTGACATGGCACAAATAAAAGGAAAAACTTTAATGGCTGTCAATGTGTTGCGGTACTGAGATAAAATTGCAAAATACTATAGCTCGTAAAATGTGTGTTTTAATAATCAGCTTTAAGAGGTACAAAAAGAAAGGCTGTGAAAAATCCTTATTTAGAGATTTAAGTCTTACCATGTTGCAGTGATGAAAATTAGCCACCTATATTGGAAAATATTACTAAAACTCTTTTTAAAATCATTTAAATTATTCAGCTCTGTGCTGAATTGTTTTACCAGACATCATAGTTTAATAAAAAAAAAAAAGTTTTAGTCATCCTCCTTTTTTAAGTTCGGTCCCAGTATTTGTCATTTTTGTGAGAAAAACCCAGTTATAAGACTGAGGGTTTAAGGGGTTAATGTGTTTGATCTTTAACCCCCACACACAGACACACACACACAGATACAGAGACACACCTGTGGTAGTCTTTGACGCAGTAGATCTTGTTCTCTGTGTCCACAGTGAAAGGCACTCCATCCAGACTCTCATTGCAGATGACACAACGGAAGCAGCCTGGGTGGTAGGACTTGCCCAGCGCCTGCAGGATCTGTGGACGAGTGCCATGTTAGTGCTCTATGAACACACCACAGGGTAATTAATCAAAGCCCAGTTTACTGCTGAATCAGCATACAGTGCACTGAGTTTAACAAAATTTACACCCATGTTTATGCCCTGTTTGTACGTACTATAACTGTTTCAGCTAACTATTTTGAATGTCTAAATATTAAGCTTTATGGTGTGTTCTAACAGCTAACACAGTGGACTTGCACTGTATGCTCACAGTGCTAGATACTGTGGCTATGAACAGTTAGCAAGAGCCACAACAAGGAAGAGCCACAACATAGCCTACATTGTGGATGAATACAGATGCGATGTGATGCCCTCGCCACAATTATGAGGCTGTTTTCTGTGTGTCTGTGTCCATGTGCGGGGCATCTCTGAGGCCAGCATGGAAATAACTACGTCCTCTCAATTTCTTCTCCACATGTGTCTCGGGGGGAAAATCCAGCATGCGTTTGCGTGCTGCCACCCATACGAATGTAAATAAAAGCATGGGAAATGACTAATAATACAAGTCACACTGTCATCTTTCCTACTCCAAATGGGTGCTTTACACATCCACTAAAGAGCACAGGCATCATAAAACTCAAACAGTATCAAGCCAGATACTCTTTTAACAAGAACTGGGAAAAAAAAATAGTAAAAAAAACTAATTTGGTCTCAGGGAGAATGGAAGGGAAAGCATTTATTTGACTTGTGCATTTTCCCATGGTTCAGAGAAATAAACCCCATCCTGTTCAAACTGATTTAAAACAAAAAACATTTTACACTGTTTTCCTTTGGTCACATGCATTTTTGTAACAAGAAAGGGAAAACTTTAATTTATGTTAATTTAATGAGATTTTATGGCAAGCAACCCGCCACACTCATTGCTAACTTGTGTATAAAATCAAGCATCAACTTCTCCACAGACAAACTCTGACAGCAGAATGGGTCGTACTAAGAGCCGAGTGGCATTGTCATAGGACGACACATTTGCCACAAGCCAGTTTTGTTATTATTGTGAAATGGAAGCATCTATTTCACTATGCGCAACGTCAAGTGTCAGCTGGAGTGGTATAAAGCAGCCTGCCACTGGACTCTGGAACAGTGGAAATATGTACTCTGGAGTGATGAATCACAGCAGTCTCATGGCCAATATAATAAATCATGATATTATGTTTGAAATAATGTAGAGCTGACAAAGAATCACATCCAAGCATTTTGACTGTTAGAGTCGTTGGCCAAGAGTCAACCATGACTCTCAGATGAGTCAGTTGAAGAATCCACATCACTACGGATCAGAAATGTAAGTAACCAGCTCAGAACTTTTTCTTCCAACAAAAAACTGGAATTTAAAAAGTAAAAATATTTTACATGAGTGTCTGTTAAAAGCTTCAAATATCAGTGCGTAGGCTGAAGCTGTGTAGTATTCTAATTCGTCCCATACTCGATTAAGCAAGTTGGGTGTCACTGTACTCACGGCTCTTTCAATGCAATTTCGGGAATCATCCAGTGTTGTTGGGAGTGGTGGCACATAAACAGAATCCTTAACGTAACCCCAGAAAAAAAAGTCACATGGCGTGACATCTGGAGATGCTGGTGACCTTTTTCTTTGAACTGTTGGTACCAACGATGAATGCTCTGAGCTGTTGGAGGTTCACTGCCATACTGACAGTCAGAAACTGACCCCCTATGACCCCCTTTTTCAGTTGGTATGTGATTGGTTCCTAGGTGTCTCATGATTGTAAAAATATAGGGCTTTTTAAATTGGATGAATCTTTTTGGATCACCCTGTACGATGACATGCATGGCTGATGCATGTTTATGATTATATGATTAAAGAAGTTAAGAAATAACTTGTACGTCTCTTGCTTTATTTGCATTGCAGCATTTTCACAGATGCCAGAAAGCTCTAAAAGGGTTGCAGTGCTCTTTTGGAGGGTTTCTCCCTTCCTAACTGTAAATCAGTCTATATCATAATTATTCACACACTGAGTATGTGTTTTTATTTATTCTATCATTAATGATCATTTGATTGTACAGTGTACTGCTATTTAAAAATTGACACTGAAACTGTCATCTGCAAGAATTGGCAATGCTGGCCCTGGAACTCTTAATACATGGATTCATGGAATTTCTAAAGTCAGGACCCTTGTGCTTGCTTAACTATATGCTGCGTTTAAGTTTTGAATGATGTAATTCTCCCGTGTCCTATGTGGTAGCTATGTTTTGTTTGTGTTTTTTGTTTTTTTGGTATTTATTTATTTATTTATTTTTTTCCCCCACCTCTTGTCCCATGTGTGTGTGGGTCGGGGCTGGAATGGGGGTGTTGTTCTTTAAATGGAAAATAATCAAAAATGAATCACAAACAAAATAAATCTGAAACATTCATATTCAAAAAAAAAATAAAAGAAAAAATAATAATAAAAAAAATAAATAAAATTGACACTGAGAATGTAGTTTGTTCAGTCCCATACATGTAGCTTTTTGTTAAAGCAATATTGTGATAATGTTGTAAAACAAGTAGGTAATTGTTGTGATAATGTTATCGTGATAATGTTGTAAAAGAGTAGGTAATTATTGGCGATCAGTGCTGTACACGGAGTAGACTCACCATGTCCATGATCAGGTGGCCACACACGTTGCACTTGTCTGCCGACTGCTGGAATCCAGAGTACTGTTTGGTCAAAAAGAACAGAGAGCCGAGGTGGCTCATTAGGAGAGAGAAGAAGCCAGTAACAGTGCTAAGATGTTAACATTCCTCATGTTTACTTTGTTTACTGTAATACAGACTTCATAACCATGCTAGAAGCACTCAGTCTTTTGTTTTACAGAAACATTACCAATGTGAAAGTCAAAATCAGTGAGAGATACTTTCCAGTTATGCAAACACTAAAAAATGTCTGCAGCATACATAGTAAAATAAAAACACACTTGTAGGAAACACGCTTTTAGGACATAAACTTTAACTGTAAACACAATTAAAGAGGTACAGGCCCGACCGTATTTGGCTCTATAAACAAAGCAAGGGGCAGACGGCTTACCAGAAAGTCCTCTTCACAGAACACCTTCCCACAGACATAGTAAAACGCTTTCCCCCTGAGCCTCCGACCTGCAGGCAAGAAAGAGAATCCAGAACGATTAATATCACTTCAGCAGAGCTCGAGACAGCTTGAGCAAGAGCTCACAGTAAAGTTCTTAAATTTCCTCTCATTACACCTACGCCTGGGAAAAGAGCAAGATATGATAAGTGAAATTTTCTTTATGGTGGAAATTCCCTGGATAGCATACTTTCATGAAAAAATAAATATACAATTGGACTTGTCATGTCTTCCCCCTCTGGGGAGTCTCTGCTTGGACTTTCCCTGGCTCTGCCCACTCTCCTTCTCACTACTTACACCTGAATCTGATTCTGGACTCATTAAGACTGCTTAGTTTTTACTGAGTGTTCGTGAAGTCCTCTGTAATGTAGGGGCAGAGACAGGTTGCAAATGTGAAGTGACTTTATTAGGGGCATTCCAGTACTCACTGTCACAGCAGACAGGGGTCAAAACACAAGCAGGCAAGAAAAGATGCAGATCCATAATTAGAAAATCAGAAAGAGTAGCAGGGGTCAAAACCAGGGAAAACCAAACTCAATAAACAGGCTCAGAACTCAGGCTAAGAACACAGAGACTTCGCAGACATACGGTGGAAACAAAGTAGTACAAGTAGCAGTCTTAATGAGTCCTGAATCAGATGTGATCATATGTGAGTAGTGAGAAAGAGAGTGGGTGGAGCCAGGGAGAGTCCAAGCAGAGTCTCCCCGGGGGGGGCATGACAGGAATCATGTTTCATGTCTTTCAGAACAGACCGCCTTTATTCTAATTTAGTTTCTTTTCTAATAGCATTATAACTTAATTCCCACATTAAACCTTTGTTGCACAATCAAAAGCTGTAACAATCATCTGATACTTTGTCCTCCATTTAAAATTCAAAAAGCTCTAACAACTATATTACATCCATATATTTGTTATAGTGCTGGGTGATCTGAATGTAAACAATCTAAAACACCCAGCAAATTAGATACACTGCAGTTTAGTCATTCATTTAATATCCAGTCAAAACTGTCATTACACACATATTAATAATATCAGATTTTTTTTAAGTATTTAGTGTTTCCACCCTTTGCCTTTATTACAACTTCCACTCTTTTCAGGAAATCTGCAGGGATATTTTTCCACAGTCCACAAAACCTCCGCACCTCACAGGTATCTCCTTTAGCCATTTTAGATGAACATGAAGAAGAAATCTGCGAGGCAGCTAAGGTGTGTTTAGGTGGCTGCTTGTGCAAATGGTAGTGTCTGGAACACAATATCAGTAACTCCTTTGGGAATAGCTTTTGTTGTGAGGATGCAGCTGTAACTGGTGAAAGGATGGTTAAAGTGGACAAAAGTAAAGAGTGGACAAATAAAATACTGCTAATAAATATATGTTTTTTTTAAATATGAGTTTTTCTGAAAGTGAAAAATGAATAATTTGTACTTGATGGCAGTACAAGAAATTAAATAAATGAACAGCTGGTCTCAGAAACAGTGCTATATATAAATATATTTCCCAGACACAGTGAAGGCAGCTCAGACCATCAACCCTGTTTTCCATCAGTCCATAGGATGGAGCTGACTGTCAGCACTTCCTGTCTGAATCGGGGCTTTTTTGGCTCTCCCTTCTCCATAAACATAAATGCAAATGCACACACACACAGACACACACACACAAAATCCCCCTCCCACTCACACAACTCCTGTCCCACAGGAAAGGGGAAACATTCCACACATTTTGTAAGGAGGGGTGTACAGGGTAATGTAGTTAACCCTTACAAACCACCAAGAAAAAAGGCATCAATAAGAGCCTTCTTCTATTTGCTACTAACATTCCGGTGGTATACACACCGCTGGTACAGAGATAGAGAACATATTCAGCCGTTAAAAAAATATGTGCATGTTTCTCCGGGGTCAGTGGGTCCACTGTACGTTCTAAAGTTGGATTCGTACAGAAAGCTAATAAATACAGAGGAGGGGTGTTCTGCCACAGCCAGATGTTCAAAATGCAATGTAAAGACTGCTCTCAACTGCACAGTACAATACCATCAATACACACAGCACAGAAATCTGCTCCTAGAAAGACTATTTCTCAACAAATATGCTACTGGAAGTTTAGAATCACAGTCATATTAATTTCAATATTAAAAACAAAACACTAAAAGCCATTTTTATGTTTTATAAAATATTTCAAGCATTTTCAGAATTGCTCATAAAATCTTGAGGCAGATAAGATGACAAAAAATAACTGTGCGTATGAAATAATATAAATAGTTTTTCTACTTGATATTCTCAAAATGCTTAGATACGATGCCTGAAACTCCTCCTCCTTCCAATATAACACCCTATAAATTCCCATCTCTACCTTCCATTTCCCGTAATACAATCCTCACCATCACCCCACCTCGTCCCTGTTCCTCAGTTCTATGTTTGTCCTATCCAAGTCCTCTCTCCTCATACTACCACCATACATTTAAGGCACAGTCCAAACTCATAAAATAATGGTTACAGCCTTTTAATGATGGTTTATGTGTAAGGCTTTATGTGCTTAATTATGAAGCTTATAAAGAAGTAGCACCCAAAGAGTATCCTGGTGTTAAGAAACATCAGCATAAATGGCGATCTGAGTTTTTAAAACTTAATTAAATCAGCTTTCTGCTATTTACAACCAACAATAAATCCATTACAATCTAATAATGCTAATCTAGTGCTGCGAGTTGCCCTGTAAAGCCTGAAATAACTGTTTAAATGTCAGAGGTGACAGATCGTATTTTGCGGTAGCTTTTCGGACCACTTCATACATCTTTACACCTTGAGGTCACATGTACAGACTCAAAAAGAAGGTGCAAATCAACATGATGAAGATATGATTCTTTACCAAAGAAAAGGGGTCAGAATCGATGTTACAAAATGTTCTACTGAACGTTACGTGCAATTACACATTTCCACCAGAGAGGTTTCCAAATCCCCAAATCTTACATAGTGCAGCTTTAACCAATGATGTTTCATGTGTGTTGTGAAAATTTCCTAAAGTATCGCAATATATTTTTTTTTCCATATCGCCACCTCTACGATTTCCAATTCATGTTAACTTTAAATAGGGCTTAATAAAAACTACTCGGTATTTAAAATGTTAGAACATTCTTCTAAATTGTACATTTACATTCTTGTAGATTGTTTGGACAATATGCTGCGATATTATATTTTAAATTGTCCTCGAAAAACAAATTATTGTGTAATTATTGAGAACAAAAATACAATAGGCTTTTCAATTCTTTGTCTGCAAATAAACTGCTTTCATTCGCCTGCCTTAATATCAATTTATTTAACATAATGAAATAATTGATTGCATTGCCTCACAGGATGAGGGGTTCTTTCATGGATAATGAAATAACTACACACCAGTTCATAATTTTATAATGTGAATTCGCTGTGGTTGTAAAATATCTCTCTGCTTTCTCATCTAGATGTTTAATTATCCTTGACCTCACCTCACCAAATGGAAGAATACTCCATAGGGGTCAATTTCAGTCTTCCTCAGCAGCATCTCTTTCCTATTACTGAAATAACTCATCTACACATTTCTGAGAGCTGATCATTTCTTGCTATCTGTCATGTACTTCCACATTCTCCCAAAAAAAAGAGAGAAAGAAAAATAAAAGCAGGGATGAATGGTTGAAGTCTGGACAGAGTGCTCTCGCCTCTCACATTCCTCTCGATCTGTCGTTTTTCCTGATAGAGCCATCAGGGTCTCCAGGGAGGAGAAGAGCAGCCAAGGCTGTGTTTTGATAAAAGACAAATAAAAGGATGAAGACCACTTACCCTGATAAAGATTTCAGAACACGCGAGCAATGAAAATCCTTGGCTCCATATTTTACATTACCTTCTGAGAACGTTAAGTCTTTGAGGTCTCCAGGATTTAAATAATCATAACAGCCTGACAGACTGTCAGCTATAAGAATTTTTTGCTATAAAACACGCAGATTTTGACAAATAACAATGTCATGCATCGATTCATAACACAGAAGAATTTTCCTTTCTCTGATGCGAACTGGAGAGCGAGACTGTGGAGGCTTTCTCTAGACATAAATCCCACACAATCCCACTTAATCCCCTTTCACTTGAAGGATGAAAAACAAAAATACTGCCTGGAAAAAAAAGCCAGGCAGGGAAAAAAGCCCATGCCCAGTCCATGCCCTTTTCATATTCATACAACATTTTTTCCTTGTTGTTTGGTTTGATTTAGAGCGAGGGTCTTACAGAACTATTGGTAGAAATCCTGAAGTGGTCCCTTCAGCAAGAAGATTATTTATCTAGTATTCATGAAAAGGAGTTCAAAGTCTAACTGCAGGCTTTCTTCTGCTGTGTGCCCAGGCCTGGCTGATAAAACTGTCTGATACTGAGGGGTTTAGTTTTGACCAGGAGCACGGCTGCTCCTCAGAGCATTCCAACAATCAACACTCTGTTCTCTCAAACAAACCATCAGCGGTACAGCTGGCAAACTCGAAAGGCTAACAGTCAACCCATAAAGAACATCAAATAGAGCCAAATTGGGTTTGAAAGGGCAAATCAAGAGTAGCCAAAGGTGATGGATGTTCCACAGGTGGGAAAACAGGAGCAGTCCGTCTCACTGCCCTGACCAAGAGCCCCTCACAAAAAGAGGATGGCACAGAGATAGGGGTAAATATAGATACGAAAGCATGCCTTGCTAACCAGTGGCCTGTACCTAGCGGACTTCCTGTGCCACTCTCTGGCGCCTGGTATGTTTAGAGAAGAGGGACCATAATCTCCCAGAAGTCCCTCTCTCTGCCTGTGAGAGATCTGCTTTCTGCCTCTGATTCTGCTTTCCCCTTTTATGGGCCTTTGTGCTTGGCTAGTACCCTATTTCTAGACCATACACAATCCCATACAGCAGCCCTTTGTGCTAGGCAGTGGTACTGACAAGAGGTACTTATATGTGAGGACTGATAGAGGCTTTTATGGTGTTGTGAAAGACTGCTGACACAAGGTTAAAGAAGGATGCTAGATGTCT